TGGAAATTTAAATTTAAAAATATAATTTAAAATGTAATAAAAGATGAGATGCAACAGCAGTAACAACACGGCGTAATTGTAGCACTGGTGGTAGTGAGAATGATTTTGGTGTTTACGCTAAATCCTTATCATCTTTCTTATCCTTACTTTATCATCTCTTATTGAAATATTTTTAAATATTTTCAAATTACTATGTCGATTATCTATAAATTCATAAAATATGTAAAATCAAAACACCATAAATCAGTTATGAATTTTACAAAAAATATAAAAAAATGGATTTGAATTTATTTGTCTAAAATCAGTGTTATAAGTACCAAAAGTAAATAATATTTATTGAGTGCGTCTAAACATTTTTTTAATGAAGAAATTAAATCAACACTTTTAAATCGATTAAATCGATTCGGAAAATAATAAAATAAATGAAAAAAATAAATTTTTTCTTTTTTGACGAAAGGATTAATTTTAAGTAATTGCTTTTGGAAATGAGAATGGATTAATAGAGGCAAATTAATAAAATTCCGAAAAAATTAAGTCCAAAATTCTTAAATTAAAAAATTTATAATAGAAATATGAACAAACTTCAAAAAAATTCACAATAAAATTGTGAATAAATTACAAAAAATTCTCATTTTTTCAATATCTATCCTACAACTTCATGTAATTTATCATGTAAAGAAGAGGAGTCACCATTTTTGGTTAACTTAACTCTGCTGGCAATTCGTGCGATGAGGGATTCACAGAGAGGAGTCACTTGGTGATTAAAATATAGGCCGCCAATACAAATTTTTGAATCACAGGTTTATTTCTTTCAAAGACAATATCCAAATCTCTAACGCTCAATACGGCGATCTACGCTGATCATTCGGCCATCATTCCTCCAAAAGTACTTCAAATAGGTTCTTCAAATTTTGAAATGAAATAAATTTTATGGCGATGATTTTACAGCCTTTTGGTAGAGAATTTGTAATCAGCAAAAAGAATCATCTCATTTAAATTCTTAGTGGTTATGTATTCCTTCTACAAGCGACTTACTTTGCGAGTGAACTGCAAATTTGATCCATTTTAGAGGAACGAATTAAAATAGATAACCCAACTTGAAGATTGCTAAATGAAATCAGGTCGCTCTATATTTATCAGTTATAATCAGTTTGAATTAACGAATGTAAGCCTCACAAAGGAAAAAATTGGAAATTTCTTGGAAATTTTTTAAAACACATCCATTGTGTCAATCATAATTTAATGTAAAAGCTAATCACCTCGTTTAGAGCTCGTACCAGACGAATTCTTGCAAGGGAGCTATGATAAGATTCTTCTAATATGTTTATAAAAAAATACTGGTAAGTATTGAATAATCTAAAAATCTCCTTTAATTGGCTTAATTTATCCAAAAACTGAGCAAAGAGTGCAAGTATAATTTATCAAGAATTGAAATTTATTCATTAAATTTACAATCGATGACGTGAAAAAAATAGATTTTTAATAAATTTTTAATAAACTAATAAATCCAATACATATCTTTCGTATACATTTTTCTTCCATCGGTGCACTTCGGTCACCAGCTTACACCTCACACCATATAAATTCTTGCCTGAGAGTAACAAATGAGTCGATAATATCCCCGAAAAACCTTGCATACTTAAAAAGTTTAATAAATTTTATTATTTCGATGAAATCATATAAAATCATTTTTTGTAAATTTGACATTGAAATGCTTTTTTAATAAAAAATTATATTAAAAATGGGCGATGAAGATGGGCGTTTCCTTAGGGATTTCTATAAAATATTAAATTCATAATTATTATATAACGTTAATCTAAGGTGATATCAGTGCTTCAGTTTTCAGTTTGAATTTGATTTAAGATTCCCATTGCCTTTTTCGTAGTCGTTTTTTCACTTACTACTCTGGTGATTTACTGTGGTTATTATTTTCTTTAAAGAGGGATTGTTTGGTGATCACGAAACTAAGGTTATTCTTCAGCACCATGCGGGTTTCATTTTTTATTATGCGCTTGTCTCTAGTTGGGTGTCCTATCTCAGCTTAGGCTTTTAGGCTTCTAAATCGACTAATTAACGCGAATAGCTCTCATATTCAAAAGGTTAACTATCGAACTTGCGGTAGCTATTTGTATAATCTTTACATATCATTTAGAAAATATTTAAAATCTTTCCTCGGCATATTTTTGGTATTGTTCAATGTTTGTTGCAATCCTTACATTTTCTTCACAATCATCGCCTATACTCTATTTCTTCGAACAATTCTGATGCTTAGCTTAGGGCTACAAGGATAAAAATTTCCTAACTCTTCTTCGATGCTGGAACCGAAAAAAACCACTTATTTCTCCACCAAATGTGTTTAAAATCAAAGTCACAGTTGGACGTTTGCGGTTTTATGTACATCAAAGGCATGCAGCGAAATATTCATTCGACAGATACCTTAAGCAGTTGTAAATATATTAAAAATTGCTAGCTTCTTAATATCTTCCGCTACAGTCGATGTTCATGATTCACAGCCCTATAGCAAAACTGTGTGCAGTGGTACTAGAATTTTCGTTTTGGTGCTCGTTTGACAGCGACAGCGCAATGATTTCGTTAGATGGATTTTGTTTTGAGGCTTAGCTTTTCTTTCGGCCATTCGGTTCAATCGTATATCCAAAGTCTTAAAAATATGACACTTCCTCATTCATTGAATTCATAAAAATAGGCATTTTATAAGCGTCTGTATATACGTATAAATATATATATAAGACGACATCTCATATTTATATTAATATGTAGCCAAATCTTTTTATAGACAATCATAGATAAACGACCACTTTTATTACTTTCTTGATTTTCGTTTTCAATATAAATTATATTTATAGGATAAAAATAACATAGAATAAAGTAGAAACGCGTTATACGGCAGTTGTACGTGGCGGATTTTCGATCGTTCGTATATTTGACATTTCTCTATAAATCGCCAAAACATAGATAAGGTATTTTGTCTGAAAATGGATTTCAAGATTCAGAGATACTCACATTATTTCGATATCAATCGCTTAGCTATAAATCTAAAATCTCGGAATTGGATGAGATCCACTGAAATCTGATTAAATTTCTGTATCCATAAATAATAAAAAGTGTGAAATATGAGCGATTTCAAAAAAACCTTTTGGATGAAATTTAAAAAAGGTGAATGAGAGAGAGCAATGAGAAATAGATGAAATAGATGAAATAGGTGAAATTTCTTAATTTAATCAAATCAGATTACTTTTATCTTATATACCTCTTTACTAATCGTGTAGCCTGGTGGTTCAGATTATTTCCACGAACTTTAAGACATGGACCCTCACCCAATATTAAATCTACGCACACTTTCTAATGGAAGGCAAATTCATGGCAAAAATTTTCTAACTATGCGTATAGGCAGCAGAGGAACCAATCAAACCAAAAATACTGCATGTTAACCACTTAATTTTTCTCCTCGAGTAATTAGCTCTTACAGATTTCTTATAAGTCAATTTTCGTTCATTTTCAAATTTATATCGAACTTTATTAACCTTATGCTTGCTTTGGTATATGCTTATAAGAAACATATATATGCTTTCTTCTTCTAACAGCTCTCATTACTGGTTAAGCTGGCTTCGCTGGCTACAAGTGTAAGACGTCTCCAAGATGCCCGGTCCGACGCCATTGTTAGTAGTAATAGAAGCCATTCCTTTTTCCATCGTCTAAGCCATATATCGCTGATCCCCCTATACGTTAAAATCTTTCCTGACCGTACCAGTCCAGGTCCTCCTCGCTTTTGACGCCAACCATCACAGGGTTTAGCAAATAGCAAAATATGCGTCAACTCCTGCGGTGGATGACAGAAAATGGGCCCTAACCAGCGAAGGAGACGCTCTGTGATAACATTATTAGTGCAAGTGGTATTTGAAAGAAGATGGATGCGATTATGTGATATCTTATCCACTCGACGAATCCGTAAAATATATCTTAGTCATGAGTGGTCTAAGGTTCTTAATATCTTCCACTCTCATTGGCCATGTTTCGCAGCCATATAGCAAGATCGAACGAATTGAGTCTCCTTCGCTGGTTAGGGCCCAGGCTATATGGATGTGGATTTTCGTCTTTATGGTGATTTCGCGACGGTTCCATAAAGGTTTCATCAATCGGAAAAACATAATTCTAGCTGCCGTTATCCGGTGGCCATTTGGGATTAGAGTGATCCAAGGTATTCACCACTTTTTTATAGAAATTGGTGAAATTGGAGAAATACGATTTATGTAGGTTTTAAAAAGATTGTGCAATGTAAAATTCTACAATAACTGAACAAATCATATCCTATTTGATCTCTGTTTTCAACGCTGACGCAACGATGAATAAACAATTGAAAAAACCAGTCGAAGAAGAAGCATATAGTAAGAGCAAATGACAATGACTTCCTCTGGACCAACCCCACCACACCTAAATTAAGGCGGTTTTGAATATGTTAACGGTCAGTATCATGAAAAATTTCGCATTATTTCCAGGATTTGCAAAAAACAAGTAACATAAATTCGAATCGTGTTCTTTGATTGAGAAAAAATGGAATGCAATTGCTTGCCAGTTGGAGGCCTATTTGATACCATCCAAATTTCAAGAAATTTCCTATTCTATTATTCTATTCATTTCGTTATTTATCATACATCTCATTTTTGTCCGGTGAAATACAAGTGGTTTAGAGAATCGAAAAATTCAGATGGCTCTCTATTCTTATAGTCAGTGAAGCCAACTAACTGCGTAGGCCATAAAAATGAATATTTTTTGTAGTAATTACAATTGCAATTGGTACAATTAATTATCAATTAATTATTATTACTTAAAACTGTAATTATCACTTATCATGTTTCATTTATCATGTTTATTTTCGTATAATTTTTAAATTTCAACTCTTTCGAAAGTATAAAAAAACTATAAAAATTGAGATAAAATGCACATTTAGAATTTGATTTCATAAACAAGAAGAGCGTAAACGAATGGCTTTTCTCATCGCAAATTTGTTAATTATTACGTTTTCATGTTCAATGATTCTAGTTAAAGGAAGTATCGTTGATCGCTTAAAGCTTCTTCTAGATGAGGTATGTATTTCAGCCATAATACTGCATCATGGTTGAATTGGTTTTCTACTTAAATTATTTATTTTCTATATTCCTCACTTTTATTAAATACACGATGATAATGATAATGATGATGACTGATACGATTCTCTTATGCACTCGTCGTAACAATAATTTCATGATAAATTCCTATCTGATATCTGATCTTATGTCGCATTATCTTAGCGTATAAATATCGTACTTTTTTTAGATAAAAAAGACTCCGATGAATTTCTTACACTCCTTTGCAAAATATTTCCCTTGCAAATCTCATATAATCACATTAAGTGATATCCATGATATCCTTATTTAATTAATTAATCAGCTTAGAATTATAAACATGGCTCTTCGATAGAAAATTCTTCAAAAATCTTTATACACAACTTTTTTAGATGACAATTATTTTTATAATGTGCTACGTTAAAAATTATCTTTTCCCTCAGTTAAGCACTATTTAAATAATATTTTAATTAATATTTGAATATTTTAGCCTCAATTCGCTGTGAAGCCAACATATAATCCAGCAGTTTATGGTGTGAAATTTTCTGAAGATCAAATGAAAGAATTACTTCGAAATGCTCTTCAGTGGAGAGAACAGCGTTCATAACGAAAATAGCTCGAAAGATATCGCTTCGATCATCATTAATAATAATAATTTAGCCAAATGAAATATCATTATTAATAATCAAAATAATTTTACTAAGTTATACGATATGAATATGTTAAATAAATTTAATATTATGCATGATGCACGATAGTCAAAGCATGATATATTACCGATATTAATAAATATGCAGTCAGTCACTTTTTTTTCAAAAAGCGTTCACCATTCCTGATTTGTTTAGCTAATCGTGCAGACGAATTTTAACAGGAAGAGAAAAATTTTGATGAGTCGCCAGCACCATCCAAATTTTTTAACGATAGACTTATTTCTGCGCAGAATATAGAAAGCCCCATTCGGCATTCCGAAATGCAAGCGACAATCCTCTGAGCTATTCTTTCGAGTAGTTACGGATATTTTCAGAAAGGAATCTGCAAAAAAGTGAGATCTATGATTCTGTGGTTGAAAATTTTGATTAGGATTAAGGACTATTGGCCCAAAATGGGCTAAACGATGTGAATACTGCAATTCACTGGAAGTGAAATCCGTCTCGCAAAGTTTTCATCATAATTCATATTGATTCAAATGTTGCATTGGAGAAGATTTTTTATTTTAAACCGAAATTCATTTCATTTTTTTCGATAGTTCATATATTACTGTTTGACTCATTTCAGAAATACCATTTTTTTGATAACTTCTAGTAAATATTTTCCGCAGCGGAGTAAAATGGTATAATCCGCACACTTCATGTGTCCACTGGATCCATTGCATCACTTAAATTACAGCCGATAGGAAATTATTTAATTACCGGAACTAAAAAAATTACTATATCCATATCATTAACTCAGTAAAACTTCTTGAATATAATGTAAATAATCCACAGAGGGATAAATAAAATATTGATTACAAGTAAAATTTTTAATATATTTATTTAACATTTATATGTAAATTAATAATTTATTAATTTATTAATTAATTTTTATCGTTAGAATATAATCACTGAAAAAATGGATTTTCTCGTAAAATTTTTTATTTCAAATGAAAAAACAGAAAAAAAATTTCCAAACTCTCAAATTGATTTTATCATTGCAGTGATAAAATTTTTGCTGAAATTTTTTCAAATTTCTCTCTTCATTGAATGAATAAATATTTTTCTTATATTTTTAATTATGCTAATCTTTGTTTATTAAATATTAATATAAATAGTACATATTAATTAATTTTAATAAAATCTGTTGATGGCGTTTATTAGATTTTTTAGAATTCAATTTAATAATATGAATGGCAACAGATTATTTGAGAATAATTAATATTTGTATTGTTTGTCCAAAACAAACGAACCGTGGTGATTGATTAATAAATACACGGGAGCGAAGGCACGCTTGGATAGACGGATTTACCACGCATGCATTTCATGATATGGATTTTTGAAAATCATGTGATAAACAAAGCATCTTTTATTAAAAAAATAACAAAACAATGAAAAACAAGCTTTTTAATAGCTTTAAAAAAAACTAGTGGAGTGGAATGAGTCGAATAAATAATTCCACTGATTCAGCTCCAATTTTTGGCCCTACTTGTTATTAGGAAATGGTACGTACTCACCATTGCTGGTTAAGTTTGCTTCGCTGGCTTGTCGGGTCAAATGTGCCATGAGTCTCTCGAAGATAGAAATAAAGGTGAGATACCAGTATCACCCGCATTTTTTTAAACGATAGTTTTGCTCTTACTGGATGTGGAGCCTCAGCACTGGCATTCCGAGCAGCTGAGCCATTCTACTTGAGTAGATTGCAGTAATTTTTTGATTTATTATTTTCTTTAATGATTTTGATCTAAAAAAAAGCATTAATAGGAATGATTAATCATATACGTGATAAAAACGATAAAAGGCCAACAAAAATATTTTTGATACAAACTTGATATGATAAATTTGATAATCTTAAAATGGCAAGCTAATTGAATATTTGTTGAAACATTTGTTCGTACTTTAAATTCTAATTAGCACATAACGAACTGAGTTTTTAAAAAAAATTTACGGCTTGAGAAAGAAAATTTATAAAATTCTTATCAAAAATTTCCACTTCAATAAGCAATAATTTATTTATTTGCAATTAAATGTATCGTTTTTCTTTTCTAATTTTAAGAACATATGAATTAATAAAAATTTTATATAGTCTAAAACAGTGGACCAGAGAACTGTTTTTTTCTACGGATTCCCTAGGTGATTTTAAAGTTCCACTGATCTCAAACAAGTTTTCAAATTTTTATATTTGAGATGAATTTTAATGAATACAATAAAAAAGTTCATTAAAAATGATTTATTTCAAATAATATGAGAATATATTTTTTGAATTAGGTATGCACTTACTGAGCGTTACTTACTGCGAGTTGATATGGATCCCACAGAGGACCCCCCGGATCCTCGTTGAAAGGTCATTGATCTAAAGAGAATTTCTATAAAATTTCTAGATAAGTAAAACAGCTTTATTCATAGATGGTAGCCTATAATTCTGTTAGCGATGCATTTTGAATATGAAATATTTAGCCGCAAACTTGAATCTTTCTAAATAATGCCTACAGTAGTGTTTTCTGCCATTTTTTTTATAGGTTATCATTTTATTATCAGTTCTTCATATGTATGAGAACCGCTGCGATTGATAAAATCACTCGCACTTTATCATATCATTTTTTACAATAGATTTAAAAAACTTGCATTTCTAAAGTTACTAGCGGAATGAATGAAATGAAATATTTACTGTACTTTTCTTAAAGAAGAAAAATCCCAAAAATCCTGGAAAAAGGAAATTCTATTAGTCTCAGTTGCTTAATTTTTTGAAATCTTTTCTTTGATCTACCGATTTCTCCGTAATTTGACGCATATTTATTTAGTATCTTTATTAATTTCTCTACTTCCTATTGATTTCTTCAAATAATTCTCTAAATTTCCCTTAATTATTACCGTGAAATATGATTTAAGAAAGACCTATAAATTCATACTGCGCATAAGTGAGGCACCAGATTGGTTCTGAAATTGTAATCCACAGGAACCCTATGGTTCCATTCCTCACCTATCTATTGAATCGTATAGAAAATAAATATCAATTAACAATATCCATTAATCCAAAATGAATGGTGAATATCGATGAATAAAATCTTTTTTGCTTTCTTTATTAAGCAAAAAACAAATATTCACACAATCAAACTACAAAAATTTCAAAGGCAACAACTAACTGAAGTCAACAGGTTTATCCAGTATTTTTCAAAAAAAGCCAAAATCGAGCTTTTGAATTATTTTAATATGCACAGTGGAGAGAGATTTAAGCGATTTTTATTTATCCTGTAAAAAAGCCATTTCCAGAAAAATTTTTAAAGAAAATCTTTATTTTATGATTTTAGATGTAAAGATAAACAGAAAAAAATAAAAAATCAAAACGAAATAACTAAAATTTGAAAATAAAAAATTAATTGTTAAATAATAATAGAAATAAAAATAACTACAAATAAATTGCATCGTTCGCCATCAAAAAAACGATAAATTCAAATTCGTCGCTATTATTTTGTATAACGATTGCAGAGAAATATCCATTATAATAAACACTTTAAAATTTCATATCCAACAAAAGTACGAATGAAAAAGCTAAAATTTTCTAAGACAGTGAAATTCGATTAGCACAACAATGTGCTACCAAAATGCAAAATACGCGATTTGCATGAGAGAATAATCACGAAAATGCCACGAAAAATGCAAAGATTTCAGAAAGAATTTTCTCAAAAAAGCCTTTTTGTCACCAATAAAAAATAAATCATTTCCTAAATTAACCGCTAAAAGTGAAAAAATGAAAAAGAAAATCACTGAAAGCTGAGTTACTGAGGAAAAACCATAACAAAATATTGAATGCAATTCTAAAGGTAGCAAAAAAATTATATCCTTAACATTAAATAAAAACAAGTAAATAAATAAGTAATAAGGAAATACTAAAACTGTATATGATTTTTTATTTTAAGCATTATTAATAACATTTCCCCATCGAACAATTTAAATAAATCTTGGAATACTCAGCAAATACTTATGCATTGGCAAATACTTATGAGATTATTACCAGATAAGAAATTATCACAATATATTTCTCTGATAATTCCAGTACTCATTCATCTATATCTTATCTTTAAGCAATATTGTGTTAACTCAAAGAATATATGCCAAATATACCGGTTAAGTTATAAATTATATCAAACAATAACCGATTTGCAAGAAATATAAATCTAATATAACGCCAAATCATCGAACCAATCGAATCGTTATATTCAACAAAACAAGACAATGATGGATAAAATAGTATTGTTGATTTCAGAGAATGTACATGGAAAATAATTAGATGATGGATGGCGTTTTTAAAACAAATAAAATCATCTATAAAATGATAAAAGGCAGTTTTAATCATTAATGATAAAAGAAGTGATCACTTTTGAGCGATACGGTGAATTTTTCGCTATAACTTTTGTGCTTTCTTTATTTTATTAAATACCACCAGCATTACCAATTCGAAATTCCTGGTTTATTCAACGTCATAAAATATATTTGACATGCACCACCTCCTTTGGCACTCGAGAAAAATACCTGAACCATTTAAGAATTAATTGAAATCGCACTTATCCATTGTTTTATATATTAGAATAGATCAGACTAATTCATTTTTCTACCTCAGTAGAACAATAGTTCATTTCAATTTTTCATTTAAAATAGCCAGTGAAAAAATTCGAATTAGTAAATTAATTAATTAGCCAATAAAAGAAAAAAAAAAGCCAAGAAAAAAACAAAGATAAAAAAGAAAAGAATAAAATACTTTGTCGTTGCGTTCACAGAGAAATTTCAGTTTTTGTGCTTTTTTATGCATGAAAACACCATCCAAATGACCGGTGTTGACCGAACGTATCTCAATCGCTTTATTGCCCCAACCCATTATTTGACCCGTTGAAATATAGGCTGAAAATTTCTTTACAGAAATAATTTTCAAATCCTCTTCCTCAGTCCAAAAATAGCCAAATAAATAGCTTTTCATCAAGTAAATAATAGAAATCTATTATAGATATTATAAGATGGCATACCGACAGAAGACGGAGTTTCTCCCCATTGCAAAAAAACATTTTTCGTTGCTTTGCCATATGTACTCACATAAACACCTTCATTGTTATAACACAGTAATAACTGCATTCCATTACTATTTGGTAATATTACAATACAATGAGGGACCACAGGTGTTTCAGTCTGAAAAACAAATAAAATTTATGAATTGCTCGCAAAACTAACGGACATTAAAAGTACAAAAGTATTGAGGTGCTTAGAAAAATATCAAAAAAAAAGGTGAAAATATTACGAAAATGCTGACATTTGGCGGTGTATAAATGTCATCAATTGATCCAGAATCCAAATCGATCGCATGGAATCCTTCCCTTGATCCATAAAGAACCTTTAACCGTGCATTCTCCTCAACTGTTAAGTCGACAATAAGTGGAAGATGAGTTAATTGAGAAAATGCCTAAAAAGAAACGCCCGTTAAAATTTATTAGAATTTATTAGAATATTTATTAGAATAAACATCTTTTTTCGTAGAGGTTTTTCTTCAAAAATTTTTCATGCCAAAAGCTATTCGTAAAATTCAAATGTATTGCATAAAAAAATTAAAATGATAAAGTAATATTCCGAAAAAATTATACAACAACCTTGAAAGCCATAAATTTATGATAGGGCTTTGGCGCCCAAGCATAAATTTCAATTGAACTCTCCAAACCCACTACCAAAAATTTTATGCGCTCATAACGAACAATCTTGAAATGAACTGATCCTTGAAGATCGCCAACATTCACCCAACCATTCCGTTTTTCTAACTAAATTGAAAAAGTTATCAGGGGTAAAATTTAAAATAGAAAATAAAAAATGCAAAATGTTTACGCCTTCGGTACGAAGAATTTTTTGCTTCAGCCAGGATAAATAATAAACTCTTATTCGCCGCTTTCTACCGCTTATTGTAACAAGAATGTTTTGGCCTTCCAATACCGTCATTTGTTCAAATCGCCTACGCGTTATGAGCTGATAAACTGAAAATAAAGATGAAATATTTAAATCCTTCACATCAAAAAAATCTTAAATTGTTTAAAGATAAAGATAAAAGTTGTTTAAAGTTCATGAAAGTTCATGTCGCAACTAAATAAGGTACCAAAAACTTCGAAAATCTAACCATACTCCTAAACGAGATATATAAGCTTTAATGTGACGAATGGAAAAATCTGATCGGTGGGTGGCTTTTTTGGTGTGAAAAATATATATAAGAAAATGCAGAAAACACCTTTTCCTTGACCACTACGGTCCAACAACATTAAACCTGAATCAGTACCAATGAGCAAATTGACTCCCCACAATGCGGCACAAAGAATCTAGAAATAAAAATTTTTCATTTCGAACAAAACTAAAGTTAATTATTCTGAAAGTGCATTTCACTTGATTATTTATTATAAACAAGATTCTCGCTTTCCTTCAAAAAAGAAAACCAGATTTCGTCTACACCTACCATCTGTCTTCCCCTCCCCTCCCCACTGCAAATCTATGAGAAAAGCTCAGAAATAAATTCTGATAAAATAAGATATTTTGGCCGACTATAAATTCAACACTGAAAGTAAGAACCAGAAAAAGCTGCCATAAAAAATTACCCTAATTATAAATTTTTATAAATCCATAAATTTAGATTATTTTTATTAGTTTCGACGTATGTTAAAATAAAAACAAATCTGAATTTGGCAGAAGGGTAATTTAAATAGATTTAATAGCTTAAAAAGGTAAAACTAACATCTCCACTAAATTTCTTTTTATATTTTCTTATTTCAGGAGCATCCCCGTCGGTGTGAGTTGTACTACTATTTCCTGCTGGATTCGGATTCACATTCACTTGAACCTTAAATTAAAAATTAATTAAAAAAACATTCGATCTTCTTTGATTTTTCAAAACAAACCCGTCATTAGAAGTGAAAAATCCTAGTTAAGATTAATTTTTACTTATTTATTTTGTTTAATTTTAATTAAAATTTTAACTTTTAAGATTAATTAAGATTAATTCGCAATCTTTAAGTGAATATCATATAGGAACAAATAAAAAAAAGAAAATATATTGAAAAAACCTGATTGGAGTCTTGTGCACGACCTGGTCGATTCACGGTACCACCACCACTCATCCCAGCACCAAAATAACCAACAAAAGATTTTTCTCGATCACGAGCCGCCAAAGGAATTTGATTTCTTGGAATGCTATTCAAATTTGAAGGATACTGAAATTTGAAAAAAAATTCTGAAATAACTCTGATATTTCGTAAAATAAAAATAAGAAAGTGCTAAAAATTGAAATCTGACTGAGAGGAGGTAATAAATCTAATAAAGTACGGTGATGTTCATGAGAAAACTGTGAGTAATATGGAATAATATCGAATGAGTTATATTAACTGAATCAAATGAAAAAAAATAAATAATGAAAAAAATACTAAAAATAATGAGGAAAAATAAAATGAATAATAACATTGATTCAATTTAATTAAATAAAATAAATTAAATGAAAATTAAAAAAACAAAACTTTGAAAAAAAGTTATGAAAAAATTTCGATAGGAAAATTTTTTACAAATTACAAATAAGTATGGATTTGTTACGAATTCACTGAAAGAGACAATTTGATTCAAAATTTGGAATATAAGGAAAATTCAAAATGTATAAAAAATTATAAAATATTTTAAAAATTACGAAGAAATTCTACTAAAGAATCTAATCAAACTAATCCAAAATAATCAAAAAATTTTTTAAAAATCAAAAAACTGAAATGTTGGTTAGCACTCATCATTTTTGGTTATGCTTTTATAGTAATAATAGTAATAAGAAATGAGACAAGAAACCGATCCAATAAGAAATTCGGATACTGATGATTTAACTAATTTTCGATGACTCTCCAATAAAATTGCTTCATCCTACTAATAAAAAGTGGAGCGCGATAGCCTAATCAAAAATAGAAAATGCTAGCCATTTACACATACCATTTGGCCAAATCCTAGGGGTATTATGGCGAAACTAAAAAAAATTTGCTTATATTTTTTTCACGTGCAACTAAAAAAATCAAAGAAGGAGAAAAGTAGCTGAAAAAATGAAATCTAAAATGGAAAATTCTTTTAAAAAATGTGCCATGACAGTGATAACGACAATGATAATGTGATAATGTGGTGAAAAAAATAAATGGAAAAATTCCAATTATTAATGCAAACACTCTCGGTGTTCAAGCAAAACAATGAATGCATATTAATATATTTACAAATTAATAATAATTATGATGCAAATATAGCAAAACAATATTAAAACTCACATAGAAGCTTCCGAACAGCGATGTTATCTGCGATAATAAAAGCATTTTTATAAAACAAAAGCAACTTTTAAAAAAATGTGCAAAAATATAAGAAAGAAAAGAATTATTACGATAAATTATTTGTTACTGTAACAAAGTATTGGCTTATAAAGTTAAACTTAACGTTACTTCGAATCGAAAATTTAAAGTTAAATCGAAAACCATTTTCTAAAAGAGGGATTAAGGCATTGAAAAGCAAGGCTTAGAGGAAGAAATAATAAACTACAGAAAAAAAGATTATTTGATTTGCCAGAAAAATAAACCTCTTCAACACTTTGAGATTCGATGCTGGCAGAACTTGATTCTTTCGTGAACGACGGCAGAATAGCCCTTTCAGCCGATGATGTTTTCGGCAAAAGATCCGGTAATACACTACATCTGGAACCACTTAATGCAGTTGCTGAAGAGCGTATCGCATTTTTACGAGCATCGAACGGTGAACCTTCAGCAGACGAGCCGGATCCTTCGCTATTCGAGCCATCGTCACAACCAATGATTATTTCAGTTGCACTTGCAGGTTGCTGAAAAATATTTATTTATTTAGAAATTTTCAAGATTCCAACCCAACTGATGAAGAAATGGCTGAATTTGTCATATGCCACTTTGTGAAACTGAATGCAAATATCAAAAAGTTCACCTTTCAAAGTTCTCCTGACACTTTCAAATTAAAGATAGAAATCCTATGATGATGATTTTAAAAACAAACATCAGGCAATGAGGAAGCTTTGACCATTTGCATTTGACGAAAACGATTTGATGAGTCTGAATTTGAACGTTGTGCAAGAACGGACGTGGAAAATTCTGTACTATTATTATGCTGAAATTACTAATTTAATATTTTAATATTAATTTAATATTTTAATTTAATATTTTAACAGCATAAAAATTTAAAGTCCAATAAAATAAGAATGGTTTTCCCCCTCGAAAACCTCCTTATAGACGAAAGTAAATTAAAATTATGTCGAAATAAGTGTTAACCAACTTATACCTTTTTCTTTAAGTGATTTACAGCAAAATGAAATGATTTCATATTTAATTACTAGGGCCAATAAAACCAGAACATATATATAATTTAAGAAGAAAAAGACGATACCTGAATAGCAAGTAATGTTCCATCATTACCGGGCATTTCAGATATAGGCGACTGATCCGTAGGTGTTGGAGGTAAAGGTTTATTTGGACCACGCAATGTACCTTCTTCGATCGCCTAAACTATTGATAATTAAATAATAATTAAAAGCTAAAAGCTAAAACTGCCAGAAAAAATCCTAGAATTGATCAGTGAATAAAATGAAAAGGATTACTCTCTTTTTTTTCTGAAAAAATTCTTAAAATCTGAAATATGACTAAAAATAATGCTAACAATAATGCTGATAAATATAAAATACTTAATTAAAGATTTTATTTAAAATTTTACCGAATCATGATGAGGCAATCGAACAGTTTCACTAGCTAATAGAGTTCCATCGTGTGTTGATGCACCTTCATCGCCAACAATCATAATTGATGTATCACGTGGTGGAGGAGCTGGTGGTGGTGGACTACAACTACCATTTTGTTGCTGATGTCGTCCCATTCTTGTTAGCTCATTTGCTAGAATATCGAGATCCTGGCTCTAAATATATATATATCTGCTTTCACGATTTGCCACCAAAAAATAGAATTTTTTTTAAAAATTTTCAAAAATGAAACAAACAAAATTACATCAAGCCTTCCATTCAGCAGTGGTTCACTCATTTTGCGAGTAGGTGGTGGCGCTGCTATTGATGCACTAACACGAGCGATATGCGGTGGTATTCGTAATGCATCTATATCTCGAACAGCAGCATCTCGTGAAACTGCACTCCGATCACGACGTTCGGCTGCAGCACGAGCAATTTCTTTTTCACTACGACGTTTTCGTTCATAATTAGCGAGGTCAGCAAGATGAGGTGCAGCTGGATGATTCTGCGCCGGAATATTATTACTGTGATGCGGTGAAATCCCTCTCTGAATAGAACAAACATATATCACTGAACGATCACAATACGAACAAAAATTCAATCAACTTCCGTAAATTCGCGAAATGTTTGATTTTGAAGAAGAGAAAAACAAACTGTTTGATGATGCGATAACGGACGTTGCGCACGTCTGCCTTGTTCGACGTGCTGTCGTTGATGTCCTAGAGGATTATTAAGTACGACCCGAGGGTCAATATGTTGTCGCATTTTGACAAGATCACGCGGCGAATCACCTGAAGTCTTCCCATAAGCTGAAAAGCTTATTCTTGAAACAGAACAGATAAATTGGAACGAACATTGAAATGTATTGGGTTTTCAACAAAACTTATTAGAATTAAATGAAAAATCATGAAATATTAAAAATCCTCAACAACTAATTAAATGATATACTGTGATAAAATGATTATAATTAAGTATATTTCAAAAAACAATCAGGATCTAATACCTGAAAATTTCAGAAAAATAACAAATCATTCTACTAATATTTTCATTAGGCATTTTACCAGGTCTGAGATAATCCTGAGATACAGAAGGATGTTTTTGTTGTTGATGTGGTGCTTGGTGCTGTGAAGCTGTAGGCCCAATTGCTGAACCAACACCCATTCGGGTACGAAATGCTTGTCCATTTGGAGAGGAATGTTCCAGCAAATTTTTGTTATTCTCTTGTAGACGCTGAAATCCTTTCCGCAAAGTACTGTCGTGACCTGATTGCATATTTAGTTCTGTAAACTTTTATTTTTGAATAAACATTAATAATAAATAGCCATAATTATTTAATTATAATAAAGTAATATTTTATTAAGTAAATTTTAAAAATTAAGTAAATTTTAAAAAATTTATTTATCATAACTTATCACAATCAACAAACCCAATTGGTGGTAATTACCAACCATGATAAAAGGAAAATAAACAAGGAATGACAAATCTGACCTGCAGCCAAATCAGGTATTTTAACTGATTGTCCTTGATTTTCTTCATCATCGCTGCCAGAATATTCATACTCTGTTTCATCTAAAAAATATCGAATTTAATTTAATTTCGAAAAGTTGTGAAACGCAACTGAACAATTATTATTCTTAGATTTTTGAGATACCTTTTTTATTTGCAATACGACGATGACGATCCTGATAATCTTTTATCGCATTCCGAGTTTGTCGTTCCGGTGGTTGATCACGAATAAATGGATGTCGAAGTAGTTGATCGGTATAAGGTCGTTGATGATAATCTTTTACCAAAACAGTTTCAATAAATGATTCGAATTTCTTCGACCTTAATTACACTCTACTTAATTTGATTTTTCACAAAATAGATTTCGATATTAAAATAAAAATATTTTATCATCAAATCATCGAAAATAAAAATTATGCAGTCGACAATAACAATACTAACCATTTTTTACTTCGTTTTAAACGTGGAGGTGCATTGCGCGGTATAAGGAAAAGGGCACGCATCGGATGCATGTCAACTAAAGGTGGATGACCTTCTGCCATTTCAAGTGATGTTATACCAAGTGACCATAAATCACTTCGCGAGTCATATGTTGCATCTGGATTTTCATCACAAGCTATGACTTCTGGTGCCATCCTATCAAGCAAACATCATTAATATTAAATATGTATTAATTATTAAAATATATTTACATCATAACCCATAGCCACTAAATTTGGAAATATTCCATTTTCAAAAATTTCAAAAACAAATGCAAAGCCAATTATTAAAAATTTCATGGAAAATATACCAGTATGGTGTTCCAATAAAAGTATTTCGTCGGCCAACGGTCCGATCGAGTTGCGCGCTAACACCAAAGTCGACAAGTTTCACCTCACCACTATCAGTAAGCAAGACATTTTGACCTTTGATGTCGCGATGTATAACTTTATTTTGATGTAAGTGATAAAGACCCTATAATAATTAATAATAAACCATTCAAGCCACTTTTAAGATTTCCACGAATGATACAATGGCACAGCAGGAGTCTATCGGTTGAATAAAATAGAAGTTTTCGTACTTTTTGTTTGTTTTTTTGTGCAAAAAGAGGACGAAAAAAATAAAAGGTTGGCATACTTAATATGAACTGTTAAGCCTAGTAGCCGATGAAATCAGCCAAACCCATTACCTAAATGCCACCAATTACCAAATACTCAAAATAATCAAATACCAAAAAATAAATTTATTCATTTTGAATGAATATAATAATCTATGTTGAATGTCTTCTAAAAAATGGCTCACACGTAGAATTTCACGACAGATATAAGCGATCCAATCTTCTTTCAGTGAGGTAGTTTTAGAAGTTTTAACAAGATCTGTTACTGAACCACTACCACAAAATTCCATGACAAGCCATAACTGATCAAGTTTGCCCGTCGAAGACGGTAATTTCTTTATAAATGCACCATAATACGTTGCAATATTTCGATGATGAGAATACTAAAGAAAAAGATAATTTATTTTTTAAACTTTTTTATCAAAACTTCCACAAATTCTAAATTTTTTTCTTAAATTCCACAACTCCTAATTTTTGTTTGATAAAAAAATAATACATTAAAATTTTTTTACGATCGAAGCAATGAAATTATTGATATTATGAAATTAATTTATGAAATCATTGGTAAAATAGTTAATAAAATGGTTTTATATGAAAAAATTGGAAATGGCAATAAAAATAGTTGAAATCGAATATTTAAAAATATTTAAATAGAATAAACCTTCTTTAACATATTAATTTCCATTTTAATTTCTTCCTCTTCATCCTGAAAAAATGAAAAAAACTTTTGAAAAAATCTCTTTCAGTCCAAAACAAAGAAAAAAAGAAAATTTGAACAATAATAGTTATATTTTTTGTTGAGATAGACTTTAAACTTGAGAATATTATGATAAAAAACGAAGAATAATAACAAACTTCATTAATATTCATAATTTTTATAGCGGCCAACTGAGATGTTTTGACATGTCGACCCTGCAATTTGCTCAATTTATTGTCATTGTTATCTCTTACAATCTGATTGTCTCTGATAATCATGGATCGCAAATAAATTAAACTACCTTATCAATAAATAATTACCTATAAATAAATAACCACCTTATCAATAAATAAATAAGTGAAATATTTTGCATGTGCAAAATTATAAACAATACGGATTTCATTATCTCTTGATATATTGAAAACCTGTCATTAAAAGTGAAATGCGTGTGCCTTCTAGCCGCACCACTATCCTCAAGCGACTCTCTGGTAAAATGAATAACTAAATATCTTCTTTAAAAATGAAGTCTAATCAGAACGGTAGGGAAAAAATGTTAGCCTAATACAATTAAATTAAATTTTATTAAATTACAAATTAAATTTTAACCTTGTAAACTTGACCATAAGTCCCATTACCAACAACTTCGATAAGTTCAAATATACCAGCTGGATCCTGTAAATTATTAATAAAAATCATCATCGATCCCAAATTTTCACTAAAATAGTAGTTATACATTAAAAATTAAAATAATTTATTAAAAATACAGATTTATAAAAAACAAGCAAATTTTTTAATTTTGGGACCTAAATTTGAAATGGTGAATCTGAATCGACAAAATCGAAAATTTTTAGAAAAATATAAAATAATGAAAAATTTTTGTTTTTGAATTAAAATAAAATAAGAAAATTAAATAATTCTGGAATTTGAAATTATAAATCTTAATTGATAAAAATGATAAGAATTTTAATATTCTAAAGATAAATGAAATTCGAATGATAAATTGTTTTAATAACTGCAAAACCAAGAAAATTTCTTCTTTCTCAAGGCCAAATCTATTATAACGCATTTTTATTTTTCAATTTTAATTATATTATCCTCTTCATCTAATTTAATTAAAAGAAATTTACTGTAAATTTAAAAAATGATTAAATTATCGTAAATTTGTAAATTTATTATAAATAAAATAAAAAATATTTTTTAAAACAAATAGTCTCAGTTACGGTATACGATTGGAAAAGCTGGAAATAATTCACCTTAGTAGTAATAACCGCAACAGTCACCAAAATAGTCACCTTAGCCAGTCAGATTAGAGAATAAAATATATTCTTTTTTAAAAAATAACGAAAAAGTTTTAAAAAATATTTTTACAAGGAAAAATAGCGGAAAAAATACCCGAAGCGAATTAAGATCGATATCGTCCAACGAATTCACCGCCATTCGTAATATTTACTGATAAAAATGATAAGGCAGTCAATAATAATAATTAACGTATAAATGAAACAGTATTAATTAAAATAAATCTCTTCTTTATGCGAGAATTCATTTATTGAGAAAAATTTATTATCAACATTAATCAAAGCAGCAGATCAATAATTGATAATAAAAAAGAATAACAGATCAATAACAGGTCAACTCTAGGTCAATTAATATAGGTTAAACCAAAAAAAACATGTAAAGAAGAGAAAAGTGCGGCGGCTTCTTCTCATTCGTTCAATAAACGAGATGAGAGTATTAAATTACTTTGCCACCTGCTTTTCTACTTTCAATATTTCAACCTGAAATTATTCATTTCTTATACTACTTATAAGACGAGGAAAAATCGTCGAAAATTTTGAAACCCGAATGGTACTTGCTCACTCATCTGGGGATTGATTATTCACTCGCTCATATTTCAGTACCCGGGTGACTGATTCTCTGGTGAAAATAATACGAGGAGATAAAAGTGATTATCGAAAATTTTGAAATTCAATGGGTATTTGATATTCATTCGGTCTATTTCAATCCCCAGATGACTGATTCGCCGGTGAAAAATAGCTTTGGGATAATAATCAATGAGATGATAATCAATGATGCTATTCAAAACATGAATCCATGAAGATTTATCGAGTTACAGCTATCTATTGGGAGAAATTATCCACAGATTTCGAAACAGCTGATAATAAAACTTGTAAGTAAAAAAGAATGGCACTTGGTGTAATTGAACTAGCTCATCAATATTTAATTTATACAGATATGATATGATAAGGCATAATCAATAGGCTAATACGGTCAAACTCATTTATTTTACGCTATTTATTTTGCTAATAATAATACTGATAAGGAAATTTATATAAATAGACTTTCAAAAATCGGGTCAATATCGATTTGCAAAATTTCAATTGACCTAACCTATTTTAATATTATAAGAACTGTAGCGATTAATTAGGTAATAGCATACATTAGAATTAGAGTTTTGTGTAAAATATTGCTAGGTAATAGTGTACGGCAATCAAAAGGTGCAAACTAATATCACTAATATCACTTTGAGCACCAAAGTCCGGACTCCTGTTCCAGCACGAATAATCCTACCATAAAATATCCGATCGAGTGTTGCGGACTTATCGTCTGCACTTCTCTATGCTTCCATTTCTAAGTGACTCTATGGAGAAATTCTCTTATCCTATTAATAAATAATGGAACCAAAGCCTAACCAAAAACGGTCAATTTAATGCTAAACGCTGAAACAGGCACAGAACAAAGTCAAATGAAATTATATTAATACCCAGATTAGAAAGGATTGGACTGAAAGGATTCCTATTTATCCAGCAAAATCACGCTGATGCTGGTTGCCCATTTTAAGGTTACAAAATTTTTGCAAGGGATTCACATTATCAATAAAAATGCAGATGGGTAGCTAGCAGCTGAATTTCTGACGAGTTCAGAAGTCTTCCAGAAATTCAGCCTGCCTCTAAACTCGGTAATCTGAGACACTGTTGTTATCCTATTCGATTATCCCCAGTAAACTACCTGGTGGAAGGATTTAACCTTCATTATTCGAAGGACGGTGTACGCAAATATGCTATCAAAAAAGGAACCAATAAATATCTTCAACAAGTGTTTCTTGGTTGTCATTCGACTAACCCAGCCATATCATAAGAACGATGGTATCAACCACGTGCACCAACATAAATATTTCGAAACCTTTTAAAAAATTTGCAACATTTTTTATGTTGAAATTTAAAATAATTCATCAATGAAATGAAAAAACAAATTTAAATTCAAAAAATTTAAATAAAATAAAAGAAAATGATTTTTAATATTTTTTTAAAAACAAAAATAATTCAATAAATAAAAAAGAATTTTTTTAAAATAGATTTTTGTGTAAATTTTGGAAGAACAAAGCGTACGCAATGTATTTGCTAATAGCAAATAAATAACAAAATTCATTGTTGAAAATATTTTTAAGAACATCTGGACGAGATGCGAAACTGAAAGAAGAAAGAAGATATAACGGCGCGGTGACAACCACTACAAATGTCACCAAACAACAGGTGCATGAATTTTTAATTCATTCACGAATTTCGAGTCACTTTTGTCACTTAGACTATAATTATTAAATAAGATTGAATGAGACTCTTCCTTTTTTCTTTAAACCACGATAAATCTATGGGACGCAAATATACCTGCCAAATCACCTTTGCGATTTTTGCCTTTCCCGGTAAATTTTCCATCATTTATGGCAAATTGTCAACAAATGTTTTTTGGTTTTTGTCATAAATAATTTATCACTTTTTAAAAACTTATAAAATATATATTTATATATAAAAATATATTTATTTCTTTCTATACATTTATTTATCTTTATTTTGAAATTTTCTATATTTGAACATTTTTATTATTTTTAAATTCACAAATAAAAAGATTCTTCATATTTTTTAGATTATAAAAAGACAAATTAGCCGAAATAAAAAGATTAAAGATAGTTCAGAAGACGCAAAAACGAGTGATTTCAAATACTTTCAGGTAGGGCACTGCATCCAACGGTTTGGAAACATTTTATCCTTATAGCCAGCGAAGCCACTGTGGCTATTCAATCTAATGGAAGAACCACGATGTCGAAAGAATTTTTTCCTCTTTTTGAATTATATAATAATAATGAGATGAAAAAATTTCAAAATGTGTCAGCCTAATCACCCCTAATGAGAACTTCTCAGTCACTCGTATGAAAGTGTTAACGGATTATTTTAGCTACTTTCGTTTTAGCCTTAGCTTCTTGCAACTTATCATTTACTTGCATGTTTAACAATGATAATGAATTAAAAATGGTAAGAACAAAGATAAAAAAAGAGGAAAGCTGTTTGAATTTTCGAATTTACATCATTCGAATTTTCTCAAAAATTTTGATTAAAAATAAATTAAAATTTTATTTCTAAAATTAAAGCGATCAAAATTAAAAATCAAAATTAAAAAATATATAAATAAAATAAAATTTTGAAAAAAAACTATATTTTATCATTAAAATTTAAATATCAAAATATTTTAATTTTTCAATTTTTCAATTTTTTAAATTAGAAAGTTCCAAGAAAAATCAACTTTCTTTGCACTTTTTTTCAATTAAATTTGTTTGTTTGTTTTTAAATTTTTCAAAAATTTTGATAAATTAATTTTTGTAAAATTTCTTTCCCTTTACACGACAATTATTATTTTAAATGCATATAAATATACAAAAAGAATAAAAATTTTGTATTTCCTCCAATATTAAATTATTATTAAATATAGTAAATGTAATAAAATGATATTCAAGTGAAAAGTAAAAATAATATAATAATAAATAAGCTAAAAAAACTGAGCTAAGTCAGTTACTTTCCTATTACAATATAATTCATAATATTCATTATTTATTATATTACAAATAATAGTGAAAAATTGTTTGCATAGATTGAATGACGAACTTCGCTTCTTTCTAATTCAACAGGATTTATTCATTTCGATATTTTCAAATTTAATTTCGAATTTACAATTTCAAATTTTAAATTTTTGAATTGCACAATTTTTAATTTTATAATTATTTAAAACGAATTTTATTCAAGCATTTAAAATCGTTTTAACAATTTTTAATAATTTTTTGCAAACGCAGTTACACTCAACCAGTATCCTCACATATCCTACCATAACGATTTAAAAAAAGATTACACCTGGTTACACCTCTCGTTTCACGTTAACAAAGTAATAAAAAATAAATAAATATATATATATATATATATAATTTAGTGAATTTATAAGCAGTATCGAATAAGATATACATAAGATATACAGAAAATACATTAAAATCAAATATATTTAGACACATTTTTTGAAAATTAAAATTTTATCTGAATATCTATTTATGAATATCTCGTAATTAGACCACTAAATAAAAAATGATTAAAGAACTGCTTGGCCTAACTCTTACAACTCCAATATTTCTCCCTCTCTTATCACTTATTATCACAATTCCTTAAATTTTTATTGAAATGGTTCACAAAAAAACATATAATTTATGCCAATAATAAAAAACTGATAAGAGAAAAAAGATAAAAAACGTCTTATTTTTATATATAAAAACGTTATAATGGTAGTTTAGTGGCAATATAATTGCTACTGATCGGATGGAGTTCGAGTTCAAATCCGGCCAACACATCACACTTCGAAGAGCCGCAATATTGCTCAGTGGCGAAAAATATTGCTTATAGAATGGTTTAGTGGGTTGTTGCCCTATTCGAATTATAAGGTTCTTCAATCGGTAAGAGTAACTTGCTCTTCTGCGTGGTACTAAAAAAATTCATCTTCTATCGCCGAGTGAATTCCCTGGAAAAATTTGGCTCAGAACAGAGCACAGGTCATAATTTCACGTTACTGCTTATGAATTTCGCGCATCTTTCATCATTTTCGGTGAAATTTATTCCTTTGGCAATCCTAAAATAAAGCCTTTTAGCAAAAGGGCCCTTTTCGGAGAGAAATATAGATAGATAGCTAGCTCTCTTTAGATGTTGTCAACTCGCCTCTAATGACAGATTCAACTCACTTGTACTTCTATCGTTAAGTGACTCGCTGGCAGAATTTCGGTCCAACAAATCGGCGAAGCGAGCCTATTATGAGCCAAAAAAAATCTGTAAAAATGAAATAGCGCTAAATTCCTCTTTTTTTTTATTTGAAAAAGAAGAAGTCATAAATGTTGGTTGGATGCAAATCAAAAAATATATCAAGGTCAAATTTTATTGAAATAATGAATTTTATTTTCGTCGAAATCTTTTTTCAAAATGATACAAAAAAAGGAAAAAGAAAATTGGAAAATAAATTAGAAAACATAAATGTTAAAAATTTTCTTATCGCTGTATTTATCACTGAATTACGCATTTTAAAATAGATTTTAAATATATCTAAAAAATATAAATATTTGAATTTTCAATCTGAAATTTATATTTTTTTGAAATATTATAATAATTTTAAATTTCGAAATTTATAAAATTTATAAAAATAAAAATTTGCAAATTTAAAAAAGATAGACTATATTCACATTTATTATATTTTTAATTATATTAATTATAATTGAAAATTGCATTTATTTTAATATTTAAATTTATTTTAATTAATAAGTCAATTAATCAAGTCTTATATAAATATAAAATATAAAAGCTTAGAATTAAACAATTTTCTCTTATCTTCTTTTTGTCAGTGCTAACCATTTCCTTAATGCTGTGGATGACCTTGTTCAGGTTTCTCTTAAAACGGAAGGTGGGACAAAAATAACATCCTATGGTAATTTGTTCCAGTAGTCAATATTCTAGGAAAAAGAAAAAATTCGCCCGATAAATAGGCTTCCTCAGCTTCTTCTTCAGTCCACTATTTTTCATCTGTTATCCTTTACCTTTGGTTGCATTAATGTGTTAGATTGATGTGGCCAGATAAAATCTCGTATATATCTTGTTTAACTCTATCAGTGAATCATAATTAGATTTGAATCCGTAAGCAGAGACCAGGCCAGATGAGAGGCTAAGATTTGAGGCTGATAAATTCAGGAAATATTTTGAACGCAGAGGCGAATCAGCGATATATGGACTTAGACGATGGAAAAAGGAATGGCTTCTACCACTGTCAGCGATGGCTTCCGTCGGACTGAAGCGTGGAGATTTACCAGCTAACCAGTCGAATCAGTAATGGTGAAAGCTGTTAGAAGAAGGAAATACTTTTGCAAATCATCGATTAACTTTGACTGATTTGCAAAATTTAGACGAGTAACACATCAAATTTATATTCTAAATTTGAACGGACGAATGTTTTATGCATTTTAATTAGTAAACTTTATGACTTAATTCTAAAAATTTCAAATTCTGCAAGATTTTTTACAACAACCAAGCAGATCGCGAAATTTCTCGCCAGTTAATAGACTAAAGTCTGAAAAATTATTTACGCTATTCATTATAAAGTTATCAACAAAGATAACAGGAAGAACGGACCCTTTGATGCTGATTTAAATTCGTTTGCATCTACCGATAATTTAATCAGTCTTCCCTGGAACCACTAAGACTTTCTAGGCTTGCTGCGCTAGCTTGTCGAACCAAACGAATCTGGCCAGGAAGTCATTTGGCTATAGAAATATGGATTTGGCCAGGATATTAGCACATTTTTGAAGACAAAAGTGCACTTCCAGGAGTGGAACTCCTCTTCTACGCCTGGTAAGCGAAACACAAGCAAAACTCGAAGCAACAACTTATCGACCTAAAAGGAAAAATTATAGGAATCTTAGTAGGTTTGAAGAGAAAAAAAAAGAAATATGGCGAAATGTGAGCTTACACTAACGAGTGGGTTTAGGGCCGCGTTTCCAAACTTAGGGACCGCGATTTTCCAGTAGAAATGACATAAATGAACAAAAACTGGGAAAAAGTGCAATATTCGTTACTGCTCGGACGACGAAGACAATCAATAACGGTGAAACTTCTACAAAATTTAATAAAAAACAATAGTTTTTAATTAAAATTAAAATAAAATATAATTTAAAAAAAGATTTGCAAAAAAATAAATCGAAACTTATTTCACTTGTAAAAATATATAATAAAAATAGAATTTTTAAATCATTCATTTTCGATTTATAATTGAATTTTTTTCTAATACTTTTTGGACAAATTTAACCAAATTTATTTATTTTATATTATTTTATTTATTTTACAAAGAAAAATCTGAAAAAATTTTAAAAATTAATAAAATACTTTTATTTATTTTATTTTTTACTTTTTTTCCTTCAAACAGCGAAAATATGCTTTTCGTTATCCGCTAACGAAGAGCAAAGGAATACCAGTACAAGTGAAATCCACGTGAGTGCCGATTTTCATCACTGTCATCAAATTCCTCTTCGGCAAAATGGTTAAAATGGTTGCCTTTGCCTCTGCCATGAAATGCCTCTCTGGCGAAATGGCCATCTCGGCCCACTAGCCTGGAATGTCTCTCTGGCGGTCTCTAGCTTTTTGTCATAAAAAACTAATATAATCCGAATGGCCCTTTGTCGCGAAATACTCTCTCTGGCGAAATGGTCACCTTTAGCGCTATGCTGAAATGACCCTCTGGCCACATGATTTTTCTTTTTAATCAATTTTCAGCGATAAATATAGCCAAAATTGGAGGAAAACTGAATGAAATACATGAATATTGACTGTCAAAAAAATTCCCTACGAAGGGAATCTATTGACAAAAGAAAAAAAATTTAATTACTAATAATTTCTATGAATAAAAGAAATAAAAATTATATTTGCATTTTATACAAAAAAGAAAGAAAATAAAAAATAATTTTCCATTGAAATAAATAAAATGAAAAAGAAAAAAAATCAGAAAAATTATTGAAAAATGAAAAATAAAAAGTGAAATAATTTTTGTATTGTTCGATTAAAATAAAAAAAAAAATAAATAAATAAAAGAGCGTTGAACTTTTCTATCAATTTTCAGCGAAAAATGTTGAAAAAAAATAAACGGAAATTTCAATGATTTTCAATGAAATAAATGCAAATATAATAAAAGGCAAATATAAATATAACGCAAAAATATATTAAAATTATTAAAAATATTTTTCTTATTTTTGAAAAATAATTGAAATATTTTTGTTAAAATTAAAAAATATATTTCAATTAATTTTACTGCAAACGAAGAGAAAACCTAAAAATTTTCTTCAGTTTTTCTCTTTCAAAGGTTTGAAGGCTTTATAAATTATATTTCCTTATATTATGACTACTATTATTATTATTAATTATTATTGCTAGTATTATTATTAAATATTATTAAATGTAAAATATTATAATTAAAAAATCTAAAAGTTAAGTCGTGGAATGAAAATAAAAAAAAAATTGTGGAAAGCTTAGTAGATTCAGTTAAAAATTTTAAAATTTTGGAAATTTATAAGAAAAATGAGAAAAATATTAAAGTAATTATGCAAAGATAAAAGTTAAATATTAAATATTAAATACGGACAAAATTCAATTAATTCAATGAAGGTTGAGGAAAACATTTGATCGGATTTGCAAAATAGATGATGGAAAGATAAGATGATAACGATAAATGATGAGAAATAAGAAGATAAAGATGAGCTCTAAATGATGATAAATGATATTTTAATTAATAGTTTAATGAAATAAAAAAAAGCGAAAATGATAAGAAAATAAATTCATTCTCATGGAGCAAAGAAAAGTAAATGAAGAAATGATATTTATTTATCAGATTATTTACTTTTATTTACTAACGAATAGAAGCCAAGCTGAAAGATGAAATCCCAGCCAGATTAGCAGCATTTTCATAGGAATATGTTTTTCCATCTAGTGAAACCTCGCATCCTCACATTCAAAACATTAAAAACATTCTCACATCATCTTCATATATGGTTTGAAACATGGCCAATGAAATATGAAGAACGTCTTTCTATCTCTCATCCCTCTTAAGGTATGGTACTGGACTGGAAAACTGGAAAACACCGAGTCCGTGTCAGTCGGTGGATTTTTCAGGTAAAAGTTAGAAAAAAGAATTGTGATAAAAAATATTAGTTGTTGCGACAAAAAGAAAAAAAAATTAAAAAAGCAGTGAGCAAATGTAGTTAATTAGTTGGTTGGTTAGTTGGTTGGTTGGTTGGTTGGTTGGTTGGTTAGTTGGTTGGTTAGTTGGTTGGTTGGTTGGTTGGTTGGTTGGTTGGTTGGTTAGTTGGTTGGTTGGTTGGTTAGTTGGTTGGTTGGTTGGTTGGTTGGTTGGTTGGTTGGTGTGTGATATGATGTGATGCTTTACTTTTCTGCGTTGTGAAGAAGACAAACGTTTGTTAAAATTGATTCATAAAACGGAGTAATATCGAAAAATCAATGAATTATATAAATATACAAATTTTAAAATTGTGCTATAGATTTTTAATAAAAAATAAAAATAAAAAATAAAAACCATCTTTAAAAATTTTTCTCGATTAAAAATATGAAATTCAATGATTTTTCTCACTATAAATGTTTCCTCACGAATCCAAACTTCGCGCTAATTGATGTTTTATGCAAGTAAATTTAATTTAATCGTGCAAAGTATGAACCAACTTAAAAGGAATCCATTAGGAATCCATACTTTACGTTAATTGACGATTTTCGTAATTATTAAACAAAAAAACCGTTCGGCTACGAGAGAATTTGATAATAAGTAAAGTAAACGAAGTTATAACAAATAATAAAGTTAATAATGCAATAACGTTTTTTTTGTATTATTTCTTTTTCCTTTTAAATTAGCTCGATTTAAGAAAAAATCGCAAAAACTCATATTTAACTCAAATCAATATTTCGAAAAATTAGTTTTTTTTCATAAAGAATATAAGAATAAAATAAAATATAAATTTAAAAAATATGAATTTAAACAATAAAAATAAAAGTTAATTTAAAATAGAAAAATGATCGCTTAGAAAATAAAAGAAATAAAAATAAATTTAATATTAACGAGTTCCAATAAAAAAATGGAAAGTGATAAAGTGTTCAGATTTTTAAAAAAGTTTCAATTAACTTTTTAAAAATTTTAAAAAAAATTCAAAAAATTAGAAATTTCAATGATTTCCGGAAATTTCTGAAAATTAAAAAAATTTAATTCATAAGATTCATTTATCACAAAAATATTCCCATAAAAATTTTAAAAAATGTTAATTAAATCGAAATTCAAAAAAAATGAAGAAATAAATTTTTAACGACATAATGGCTCAGTGGGTTGTTGCTATCATTTTGAAGTGCCAATGATAGGGTTCCATTTTCGGCAGAAACAAATCTATCTTGCAAAAGTGACGAGGTGATGGCGATTTATCTCTAAAAGACCAAATGATTTCCTAGCAAAATTTTGTCGTCTGCTCTGAGGAGCCAGTGGAGCGAACCAAGCCAAAAACGATAAGCGCTGTAAGAAAGAATAAAAATTTAAATTCGACTTCAAATCGAAATTATTTTTCGAATTCCCCAAACTATTCCTTTTTATTTATTTTTAGTGAGATATTATTAATTCGTCGCCTCGGTTAAAGATTTATATGTCGAAGATGAATATTCATCTAAAATTTAAAATTTTAAAATATTTAAAGTTTTTTTAAACCAGTAAATCGAAAATTTCATTTATTAAGGTTTATTGCATTGCACATATAAAATAAAATGAAATCTCTTTTAGAGGTAGGTAATCTTTTACTTTTTCCCTATCTAATAGTGTACAATATTTTTGATTGTAATGAAGAAAGATAAAATAGGCGATTAACAGAGACCATTTTTGGTTAGCTTGGCTCCATTTGTTAATTCTAACTCAATGTGGTACTAAATTCTACTATTTATCTTTATGCTGATGATTATAAAATTTATTATTCTCATCGTAGAGTAGATGGCCTCCACTGCAGGAGGACCTCAACAGAATAGCCAACTGGCTAAATGACAGGAAAATTACTCTTTCCTTTCAGAAATGTGGCGTTCTTCATATCGTTCTTCATATCTAAAGGTTTCGATTTTTCTAATCTTATTATTAATGGCAATATAATCAGTAGAGTCTCACAAATTTCCGATCTTGGAATAATCATGGATGAAAATCTCGATTTCGACCTTCATTGCAGAACCATGGTAAAGAAATCCTCAAAGATAGTAAATTTTATTTTTCGTTCGTTTGAAAACTGAAGATTTTCTTATCAAAATCCTTCGTTCGGCCACTTTTTGACTACAATACTACATGTTACTCACTTATATCGTAAATCAAGTAAAATAATTAAAGGACTCCAAAAATATTTTATACAATGCCTCTCTCCTAATTGCAATTTTAATTATAAAAGAAAACTTCTACAATATAACCTGGATTCCCTGTCAGTTCGTCGCATTAAACAAGATTTAATTTATACTTACAACATTCTGTATGGTTATGCTAAACTAAACTAGATTGTTTAAAATATTATAATTTTAGGCTAAATTTGGATCCAATAAGAACTAATGGGCTAAAATTACTAAAACCTATGTGTAAAACTAAACTAAGGACTCATGATTTCTTTATTCGTAATAATTTCTGGAATAAATTACCGAACGATATAGCTTGTGCGTCATCCCTAGTCATCTTTAAAAAAAGAATAGATAATATCATTTATGATATTATTTAAAAAGTTCACATCATGTAGGAAGTGTGAAATTCGATTTTTACCATCCGATTATAGTTATTTCGAATTGTACTATATTTTATTGTTTTGCAATATCCTCTTCTATATAAATATATATATTACTATTGGGGATAGGATGGCTTAGTGGGTTGTTGTTCAATTGGAAGCGTCGAAACTAAGATTCGATTCACCGCAGGAGTAAACATGTATGAAAATCCGAGTGACACTGGCGACTCATCTGTATTTCTATCGCCAAGGGACTCTCTGGCATATTTGTCCAATGCGACAAACCAGCGGAGCGAGTTTAACCAGTATATATATATATATATATATATATTACTATTAAAAATAATTTATTAATTTGCATTTTGCATTTCATTTATAAAAAATTCATATAAATAAATTCATATAAATTCATACTTTTATAAAAATAAAAGTAGAATGGCCTGGCTCTGATTTCGAAGCGACAGTGCAAGAGAATTCACGCAGATATCTGTCTTTCGAAAAATCCGAGTGGTGGTAGCGAACGATTTCTATTACTTCTATTGTATTTCTATTGCCAACTGATTCCCTGACAAATTTATTTCAAGCGATAAGCAAAATTATTCTAAAAAAACCGAATATTGATAGGATTTTTGAAATTTTACATAACAAATAAATAAAATTTAAATAGTGCATTATACAATTAATATTTGAATAAAATTTAGTATTTAGAAAATATTTAATAATATTAAAAACTAAAATTTAAAAAAATTCAAGAAAATACAAATATTAAATAAATAAATAAATAAAAATGATGAAAAACATATGAAAATATAAAGAAATTTCGCAATAAAAGATTGGTAAATAAAAAAGAAATTTATTTTAAAAAAATTTAATTTTTTAAAACTGAAAATAAAAATTTTAAAATCTCTTCATTAAAAATTAAGAAAAGAAACTTTCCCAAAGGAATTAAAATGCTTATTTTTAGTGGGAAAACAAATTTTAAATTCCATCAATATAATTTAAAGCAATTCTTTTGAAAAAAAAAAAAATAAAAGCAATTTTTCTTTCATAAAATTGATGAAGTAAGATTAGAAGTTTTGAAAGACTATCGACTTTTTCGAATCATTAAATATGTTCACATCTATTTATATTTGTACACATACCTCGATGAACCATACGGTATTGGTACCGGAACAACTGTTGAGAGGGCATGAGTTTGGCTGCTGTGCCCGACAAGAGTAAAGCCGTCATTTGAAAAGTGAGATAGAAAGGTGCTATCCACCTTTATTTCTATCGACAAGTGATTCTCTGACACAATGAAAGAACTGGAAACGACTCACCTTAATAATCGTTAAATAACTGATTAGCATTCATTCTGGTTTCTGGAGACTATTGGCAGAATAAGACAATTTTGAAGGAGAGTCGTTAGCAGACAGAAGTATGTTGGGTCCTCAGTACCACTTGGAATGACTAATGCCAAGTTAACTCTCTTGCCATGGACAACCATCGGATGCCTGATAATCTTATCAGTATATGCTCAGCTATATTGCTCTAGTAATCAGTGGAACTAGTCGAAGCAAAAATGGTCCGCAATATTTGTAAAATTAATATTCTTATAAAGCATTTAGACAAAGAAAATTCTTGAGGAAAGAATTTTTTTGTAAATAATAGAAATTTTTCGATTTTTAAGAAACAATAATTATCGCTAAAATATGTTTTAAAAAAATAACAATAAAATGGAATTTAAATGTATAGAATCAAGTGAACCTTAAAAAAATAATAATACTAATAATACTAATACTAATAAAAATACAATAAAAATAATAATAAAAAATTTAATAAACCAGCAATCGAATTAATCTATTGTGTTAGAACACATAAATCATTGTACTTCTGCATCGTTTGGAATTTTTATTACATTCATAAAATAATAATATTAAAAGCCAGAAAAAAAGCCAAATAAATAAGCCTATTTTTTAAAATTAAAATTTTTTAAAATTGAAAATCAATTTTTCAAATTATTATTTTATTTAAATTTGAAATTTCTAAGAGAATAATTCTAAGCTAATTCGATGAAATTCTTAAACGAACATTCTTTTAAGGGAAAAAAAAGGTTTCTAAGGAAAGGAAATAGTTCAAAATTTACTATAAATTTCGGTATGCAAATTTATTCTCATTTCAGAAGAAAATTGTTTGAATTATATAATAAATATTTTATATATATGCAATAAAATAAAAACAGTAACAAAAGTAAGTGGCTAACGCTAATAATTCTTGGCAAGGCTCATTCAAATGGTTGTTCATATGGTTACGAATTTTGAATACCAGAAAATCATTTGGTGACAAGCCAGTCACCAGCAGGATGAACAATATATTATAGGATTAGTATAGGACTAAAGGACTAGGAAAGAGTTTACAAAAGTTTATCTATTCCTCTATTAATACAATTGTTTAAAAGACTATAATAATAAGACTATAAAATTGTTTAAAAGACTAGAAGTCGATAAATTAAGATTTAGAGGATGATTTGAGGTTTCCCATAGGATTAAGAGATGGAAAGTTACAGACCATATGCAAAAATTTCTCAGACAACATAGAATTTTGGAAAGCATTTGTGAATTGTAACAGAAGGACACAACAGGGTATGGGAAAATAGGGAAAAAAAG